CTAGGCAGCCTGCCCTCACCCCACATACAAATCCAGGGGGTACATGATCCCCATGCCTCCCCTGTGCAGGCATGTACATGATCCCCATGCCTCCCCATGCCTCACACAGTGGCAGGCAGCTGTGTGTCCCCCCCCACCGCCACCCCCGGATGAGCCACCCATCGCTCCGTCTTGTGCCCTGCCCTACCCCTGGCTGAGCAGCATCCACCCTTGCTCCTGCCCCAGTCCCACTCCCAGCCCCACTCCCTCCCTCAGTGTGAGGGCCTCGATCTGCCCCCCAATACACACACCTCTTCCCTCCCCCAACCCCTTCCCCCACAACACACCTCTTCCTCCCCCCGCCCCTTCCCGCCACCACAGACTTACCGGCCAGACACTGCTCTCCAAGCTGCCCAGCTGCATTCCTGGCCACGTGCATGCTGTGGCTGTGCATATGCACGCGGCACTTATTGGTAGCAATACTGGCTACGCTGGCCAAAGAATGCTGATTGCCGATAGTGTCAATTTTCCTTTTATCGGTGCCGATCCGATGCGGACCAATATAATTGATAAAAGGATATACTTTCCCACAAAGCAAAATTAGACAATAGATCTCACTGCTAGAATGCACTGAGGACAATAACTTAGTGAGATCCAAACAGAGAGGTGTTTATTTGGATAATAATACTGAGAGTTATAACACCTAATGCAAACATAAAATTGGACAGAACAGAAAAATCTCATGTTTCAAGGCCAAGCTTCATTCAAGATAAAATTGGGGCACACTATCCAAAAACTGTCTACTATGAAAGTTCTGCACTTTCTTCTGATGCATATAGGATTTGTTGCTGTCAAATAAGGTGCTAAACCAGATGTATCACAATGCCAAATCCCCTCTTCCTAGAATTTGGGACCCTAGCTTTAAACGTGTTTTAGAAAACAAATGTGTAGTTTCAAAAATTAGTTTCAGCTAACAAATAAACTATTTCACGTTATCTCTGAGCAAAGAAGCCAGTAACAAAAGAAGGTGTCTACAGAAGAAAGAACATACTGACAGAAATGATTAAAGAGAATTTTACTGTATTTTCTTATCTCATGAGAAAGCCCAAATCAATATCATATACTTCCACTCAGTAAAAGAACTTCATAAACCAGTCACTTGTAAAGCAATGCAGCAGTTTTTCAAAGGACAACATAAATCAAAAAGGAATAAGAAGCTTTCTTCAGGTAATTCTCTTTGCTAGCAGCTTCTTACCTCATTTATCAGAAACGTTTAATGGCTTACTTTTGGGGAAACCAGAGGTATTGCAACATTGGTGCTGGAGGCTTTAAGACTAATCTGTGCCCTACAGCTCAGTCTCCCAGAAGAGCTCTTCCAAAGCTGCAAAAACACTCCAGCAGTTAAGAAAGCAACTTGAAATTGTATCAAATAGC